ACTGATTCAGATTACTATGTAATGATATAATGGCTCATACATGTAACTGAATACAAAAATTAACTTTATAGTATTTTTATTTCCATTAGTTTGAACAAAATAAAAAAAATGTTTATTTGAAATCCTGAAATCTCTAATATTTTTTAAAAATAATTTGACAACAAATTATTTTGTGAAATAGAGTTGGTTTAACTCAAATTTACAATTAGTAAATTTCTCACATCGAAGAACTTTTTTTCTATGATGGATCCAAATTTGAACCACTAATTAAAAATGTATTACTCTATAAAATCTACTTATTTATCAATTTTCATAAAATTTAGCCTAATTTATATAGATATTTAAGATTCTAAAGTCTGAATCTATGCTAGGAGTATTAATACATGAATTAATGCTTCTAGCATAGATTTGATCCTTCAGGATCTCAAATCTCGGTGAATTTGGGACCAATTTTTATGAAAACTGGCAAATAGGTAGATTTTATACAGTAGTACATTTTTAATTAGTGGTTCAATTTGGATCCATCATAGAAAAAAAGTTCTTAAATATGAGAAATTTACTAATTATAAATTTTGAGTTAAATCACTCTATTTCACAAAATAATCTGTTGTCAAATTATTTTTAAAAAATATTAGAGATTTCAGAGTTTCAAATGAACATTTTTTTTATTTTGTCCAAACTAATAGTTATGGAAATAAAAATGCTAGAAAGTTAATTTTCATGTTCAGTTATATATGTGAGCCACTATATATCACAATATATAGAGGTCTCCCAGAATATTGTGGACACTTTTTAAAATATAATAATGTAAAAACTAATAAAAAAACAAGATTTATAATTCTAAGCTAATAAAATCATTGAAACTTATTGTACATTATATCAAAATTGCAAGTAATTTCAATAATTAGTTCAAAATATATATATATAAATATAAAAAATATAATTTAGTATCAAACTGAAAATTTACGTAAAAAAACATTTCTATTTTATAAATATGCAAATATCTTCATATCCAGTAAACCAAATTAAATAATTTTATATTATCAGATTCACCAAGTCAAGGTGCATCTAATGATATCAAAATTATATAATTTGAATTACCAGATACAGAGATATAATGGCTCAAAATACTGTAAAAAAATCAGGGTAAAAAAATATTTTAAAGAAAATTTTAAGAAAATCATTTTTCCAAATATTTCTGCATCCAGTGGATCAAATTGGATAATTTTGATATTACGTACTAGATTCACATAAACAAGATGAATCTGATGATATCAAAATCAACTAATTTGGTTAATTGTATGCGAAGATATTCACAAAAAACTATTTTCTTCAAAAAATTTATTCCTGTTTGGTACATTATTTTTGAGACGTGATATCTTCATATCTAGTAATCCAAATTGAATAATTTTGATATTATTAAATGCGCCTTATCTTGATGAATTTATGGATAATATTTCATTTAATTTGATTTACTAGATGCGAAGTTATTTGCATTTTTGTAAAATAATATTTTTTTCACATAAATTTCGGTTTGATACTAAATTTTATTTTATATATCTTTATATATATTTTTTGAACTAGTTATTGAAATTACTTGCAATTTTGATATAATGTACAATAATTTTCAATGATTTTATTAGCTTAGAATTATAAATCTTGTTTTTTTATTAGTTTTTGCATTATTGTATTTTAAAGTGTCCACAATATTCTGGGTGGCCTCTGTAATTTAAATAATAAATAGTAAAATTTTTATAGTTTCATTATTATAAATTGTATTCATATTATATGATTAAATATTCAAAGAACTTTACTAAATTAATAAGAATCTCATAATTTGCATTATTGTGTATCATTATTTTCTTTTAAATAATAAATTAATGATTGTGAATACTTTTAGCTTTATAATTTTTGTCATTGATTTATTTTAGCCAAGCAATGAACTGATAAAGGAAAATTTAAGAATGTTCAATAAGAATTTCATAATTAATAATTTCGTGAAAATGATCGAATATTTGTAAGTATTGAGGTAAATTTAAGACACGAGATATTTTTTGAATTCAAGGACGTCGCTTTCTATTTGATAATACTCATAATGAAAACTTAAAAACTAAAAGAGAGTTTGCTAATATAATTATAAAGTGTGATAATACTCAGAATATACATCATTTACCATGTAGTTATATAGTTCCAAGAGCAGCGGCTAAAATATTCATATTTTGATACATGTGCAAGAGTCAGATATAGGTTTATTAAATACACCATTGCTAAATCGCTTCTTACAAAGTTTGTTTTTTTAGCATACTGTATTTTAAACTTTCAATTTTTGCTAAAACATACTTTATATATCAAAACTATTTTTTGTGTTTAGTCTAGTCTAATTTGCGTTCACATTAAATATATTTATTTTTCTTATTTCTAATAATTTTTCTTTCAAGAAAACAAAACAAAAACATATGCCTTATCGAAAAGTTAGTTAATATAAACAACAGCCAAAAATTGCGTTAGTCAATTGTTGGTGGTGAGATTTATCAGAGGATAGAGTCAAAAGCTATCTTGGAGCCCAAACAACGACAGTATCATCTAGGAATATTCAGAAAACCAATATTACTATATCAATTATCATAGGTAAATATTCAATAGTCATAAATATGAAGAAAAGTATAATTAAAATAAAATATCAATTTAAATGTCAATATAATTTGTCAAGCACTTCCCAGATAGTCTCAAGATACAAGCTAAAAGGGAAAATCATTGCTTCTAAAACAGTAAAATGACATTCGATTGTTCTTCGTTAAAAAATACCGAAATTTATACGTTAACAACTGGCAAAACTAATTAAAGTTAGTAATTAAAGTCAATAATGAAGTACAGCGATAGAAATATAATAGTATGTGATTACTTCATCTAAGAGAACTTTGAAAACCTTTCCCGCATTGAGCATTATAATTTTAAACAGGTTATGTCATTTTTAACATAACAGCGACCCAAAACATAAATAAACTTACCGAAGCCAGCCATAAATATCCTCTGATCTGTGTTATTATCGGATCTAAACCCTATAAAGCATATGTGAGAAAAAGCGAGCAGATACCTTTAAAGAGGATTTCGGAAAAAGAACAATAATGACGCAATTAGAATTAAGGAGGAGTTACATCATCGTTATAACATGTGATAAAGTTTTGTAGAATCCAGATTGAGCTCGACTTATTATTATCGTTAGAGAACATCCACAAATAACGTTATATGTACCAAATAAGACCTTGCTACCTCTCCCCCTTTTCTGTTATTCAGTTAGATATCCCCTCCCCAATAACGCAATTTAGTTATTCAGAAAGAAGTAATGTTAAAATTAGGATTGCAAAAGGATAAACTACAGTGAGCGCTCGTTACAATAACACTCTTTAAGATAACATCTCGTTATACTAACACAAAATCTCTTCCCCCGATCTCATTACTGTAATAAGCTTTCATAGTATTTATTTTTTCGATAGAGTAACATCTCGATATAATAACACCAAATCTCTTCCTCCGCTCAAGTTATTGTATCGAGCGCCCAATGTATATGCAAAAATTTGCGCTGAGCATTTTTACTTAGAGATCAAAAGTTAGCTATCATTAAAATTTTGAGTTATCGTTATTGGCATTTTATTAATTCGCAATTAGATTGGTTAAGATTAATAATCACGTGCATCGAGCGATAGGTAGATAATTAATTAATGTGGGGATCATGGTGAGAATTTTGGTCAAAATTATGCAGATCATGAGATCATTTGGCCAGAATTATCGATAATTTCTTATAATAAAAGAGTAATATTTTGAAAATAATGATAAGTGCATAAAATATATAACTTAAATTAATTTTGCAATAATATTTATATTGCTAAATACTATGCAAATTTATGAGTATATTTATAGTTTCTTATAATAGATATTGCAAATTTCACCATAATCCGTTTTTCATCATGATTCCCCACAATTAACAATACGTCAAATTTATTAAGTCGTCCTATAACACGTAACTATGTACGTACATTTAGTTATTTGTTAGCAATATGGACTGCGGGTATTATTTATACTTTATTATTATTATTATTCAATTATATGATTATATGATTAAAAAATTGTGTTATTATTCCGAATACGGTCAAATTTTTTTATACATGTATTATGGAATATATTTACGTTCATATATAAATCATTTTTATAGAATTCAAAAGATGTATTCTAAAATTTTGAATACTATACTCATGATTGTGATAAATGTATCGATTGTCATTCTATGACAACTGCAATGAATGTTCAAATATGATTGTCGAAATGCTTCTTTTGCCTAAACAATTACTACTGCGATGGGTGTTCATATCACTTATTCGAACTTATCATTGATGTGTTATATTATTTAAACCGATTAAAATAAAATTTAGCAACTAATAATTCAATAATGATTATAGATAATAATAAATACCGAGGCAGGAAGAGATTCACAGCCTCGCGTATTCTGTCTGAGGTTTGCGCTGGAACAGCATCATTTATATGATTGCATTCATTGCATGGGTGAAATGAGCAAAGACGTTAAGTTGACCAAAGATATGAGGAATTGCCACTTAATGAAAGCGAAATGTCCAAGCGAACATGACATCTGACAGAAAAAAATAACCATATAAATTTTTTTAAACTATATCGCTCAAGATGTGTTTTATCGCAGATAGATCCAAAAACTTTAGAAATTACACAAAGATTCCTACTGAAGCTTAAATACAGTATATTTTACACCTCTCCAGTTGTAGATATTAATCTTCTCGCATAAATTTATTATTGAAAAAAAACAATAATACGTTCGTTCACTTCATCTAAGCAATTAATTGCTTGACAAATATTAAATATTTACAATTTCTTCTAAATTAAATTAAATTAAATGCTACTTTATTTTCATTACCAATGTTCATTGTTAAGAAAAATATTAACTACTTTTGCAAATGTTCTTTGATTTCTTGGCGTTATGATGTTTCAGTCACTTGGCGACAAGGAATCGGCTCAACCTGAAGTAACTTTTGTTTGTACATTGTAAATAAAGATGCTCGATATGCATTCGGATTTATTATCGATATTCGCGAAGCAACTTGTATGTTAGGCTGTGTTTCGGTTGCATATTCTTCAGTCGAAATAGAATCGGATGTTGAAATCGAACTTCTTTTCGAGTAAAAAGAAAGACTACTTTCGTAGTCATCATATTGTTCTTGTGTCATGGTCCCTTCGTTATAGTAGATGCTGTTTTCAGCTGTTGATGTTTTGTTGGGACTTAATTGTGATATATATGAAAAATAGTCGGTTGTAAAATATTCATTTTGATACTGTAATAAGAATAATTGAAAGATCAATCATCAAATAAAATCTTCTAACGCTAATACTAAAATAAAAGTAAATGTAACTTACAATTTGATGATTCAATTCATCTTCGTCGCGACAAAAAACTCCGTCAAAATCCGCAAACATCGTATCCAACAATATACTGTCTATCGAATTTCGATAACCTTTTTGTTGCGTATTTTCTTCACGACAATAAACTCCATCAAAATTAAGAAAATATAAGGTTTCTGGATCGATTAAGTCATTTATTCGCTCTTCTTCTTTATCGATCTCGAACGAGTCAAATGATAAATTTGAGTCTGTGTAGTAAGAGTACTCGCTCATACACACGGAATTTCGAGCTTGGTTTTTGAATAGGTATATTTGTATGTCGGTGTCGTCGTCGTTCAAGAATGCTGTTCTTTCCATTGCGTGCGTTGATGTCGAGTTATTGTTGTAGTAAATTGTTGCCATTTTTTGTGTTAGTTTGTGTGTGAATAGTTGGTTTGTGTGTGAAGTGTGTAAATTTTTGTTGCTATGATGAGTATGTAAATTGGGTGTAAAAATTGTTTTTAAATTTAAAAAAAACGGAGAACGAGGACTCGTAGTTATATTTATATATGAAAAATTCTTCAAGGCTCAAATCGTATAAGCGTGTGGTCAAATAACCACATGGTACACAGCGAAAAGATTACGACTTAATTACTAAGAGAAATAATCAACAATAGTAACGATAAAAGCATTGATTTTCACTCGTCGGTGATCCACACTACAGCTTGCATTTGCATAAATCTAATAAAGAGGCGTAAAATGGCCGTTTCACAAGAGACTTTGTGCTCTTTTTGTACGATTATGATTAAGACACTTTCTTGGCTTCTACGTGCTATACCGAAAAACCCAAAAAATGCACCAAATGCACACAATGATAGATGCACTAGAAAAAACATGCAAATTGCCATAATTGAAGACACAATGGCATTCATGCTGTACTCTATGAGTACGCAGGAGAAGAGAAAACATTTTATTCTTTCTTGGAATGCTCGATAATTTTTATGTTAAACAAGAAAATTTCGTGCTAACGCTTGCATTCTGATTACATAAATCATCATTTCTGTAGAGAAAACATCTAAAACAAGGTTGAATTTTGGATGACTAAATGTTACAGAAGGTTTGTGGTACGAATCGAGAAAACACGGTCGGCCAAATGTATAATTGGTTAAATATTTATTTAGTTAAGACTTGAATCTCCGGTTAAGCTGTGAATAACCGGTTAAATACTAATCACAGTCTCCCCAGCATCCCGTTGTTAGCAACACGTGGTCAACGGATTTCACCTATCACTATGAAACTGAAACAACTTTAACCCTGTAGTTCCGCAAATGGTCCAGAGGTGTTGATAACAATGGGGTCTAACTGTAACCGGAAAAAAATTCAATATTTGCCTATTAAAGTTAGAATTGATATTATTAACAAAGAAAAAATGTATTCATTTTTATAGTTAACAAATGAAAAAAAAATGTACGTATCAAGTCATATTTTTTTGGCGTGTTCATACATGATTTTTTATCAAGTTTTATGATATATTAATTTATTTAAATATATGTACATATATAATGGAAAACTAATACATTACACCCGAATAAACCGAATTCACTAAATAAACAATGTTCCTAATAGACCGAGCACGTTATACCGAGGTTTGACTGTGCTTGAGAAATTTTCAGTTTATGGTAATTTATTAAGAAATCTCTATACGTTTCTGGTGTCATATGCACTGAACCTAGACTATAATTTTCTATTGGAAACGGGGAGAATGATGATATGGATTCGTCACTTTCATATGAGAAAATACTAATCTCGTCATCTGAGGACGAATCGTTGTCGTTGTTGTCAGGACTCTCGTCCAATACGAAGGTGAAATAGTCGGTTACAATGTTATCGGATGTAATTTTGATTTCGCATTTTTGTTCGTTGCGGTAGGTGCTATCAAAATCTTCAAAGTAGAGAGTTTCGGGATCATAACCTTTACAATTGTTCGCCTCGTTTAGAGAAAAAGTAGTAGCATTGTTGTGTTTCGTAAAGCTTTGGATATCATTGGGGTTGATTGCTCGAAAAAAATAATCTTCTAATTTGCACGAACCATCTGAGAAAATACTATTTTCAAAACGATCGATAGGTTGTGAATTGACAATTGTCATTTTTGTTTGTTGTATTAAGATTAGTTTGATTCGATTAGAAGCGTTTTGATTTGTGTTCTTAATTTATTGAAATTACAAATTCTACCAAGGATCTTATATAGAAAAACTTGCTCACTGATTTTCACGCGTGAAAATTACATATTGTGCTACACGGGTCCAATTACGACATAATCCGCACTCGTTATAACCATAAATTATAGCTATTGTTGCTTTTACTATCTAGGAGATTATAAACGAGTGCATACATGTATAATATCGATATTGTTGTTGCTGGTTATATCAGAGATTACACAAATTTTATGTAGAATAACATAACCCGTTTCAGAAATGTTGTAATAACTCGTGAAATTGTTTATAGTAATAATAGACTTATTGTTAATGTGTTCGTGCAACATTATTGTGTCTGATAGACGCTCGGGTATTTTTTCATGTGGTTTTACGAGAGATTTTTTTCATATGCGATTTCGCATCGAATACCTTTTTTTTTTTGTGAACTTAATAAAAAAACCGGTAATATAATCCCATTCAAATTACGTGTACTATGGACGTTTCATATAGAAACTATTTCGATTTAATGTCTTTGTTTGTTGGAAAATTATCCTTAAATCAAATGACGACTTTTCGATACAATTTAAAGGGTTGATGCTAAAACCCCTTGTATTGGTTTGTTATTATGCCTTTTTTATCCAAGTTGATTTTCTAATAACTTCATGAATTCTGATTTCCATTTATCATAGAGGTACCCTTATGCCCCGACTAATAATTTATCATATAATCCTGACACCCCTGATAATATATCATATCACGTTATATAATCCTGGCATTCCCTCCCCACTCGGGACAGGATGGCGCGCCTTTCTGATGAATTTAAGTCATTACATACACATAGAACTCAGAATTTTAACTTTCTCCTGAAAAATAACAAAGAAAATATACATTGAATTAATTATAACTTATCTATACATAACTTAATTATTAATAAATGAATAGTTTGACAAAATAAAATTAATTAATTAAATACAATAATTTTAAAGATTATGTTTATTGTTTCTTTTATTTTTATAAAATATATAGCTTTACAAATACAATATTAAAAATATAATTACAAGATTATTTTTCGTATTTCCTTTTATTTTGAAAATTTTACATAGAATTTATGAATCATAATTAATATTTAGATAGCTATGTATTTTACATAATTTTTTTAAAATTAAATTCAAAAATTATATACAATTATAAAAATCATTTACAAACAAAAACTAAATTAAAGTATAGTTTGATTTTAGAAATGTTTATTTTGAATAATTTTTACCATTTATACTATATCATTATACATTATTTTTTCCTGCGTAAAATTCGTATTCATGAGAACATCCCATAATCTTCTATACTTATTTTAATTATATCAAAGTTTAGTAAATTTATATAACAAACACTTTTGTTCTTGGTATTAACATGATCTTATTTTATTGCATAAAAAATTAACATTAACTTAATTTTCTTATATAAAGGATACTAAATTATATTATAAATCTGTTTAAGATATGTAAAATACATCAATTGAAAGAGTGATAAATAACTAGAGAAAATGAACATATATTCTTGAACTTATTGGTTTGTAGTATTATCGTTATAGAAATCTCTACTAGTAACACAAATTTTTTGTTTGTAAGGAGTCATATTGAAGAATTTCTCGGTCGTATTGATGCTAATCTCTGTAGATTCCTTGTCATCTTTATTTGGGAACGAACATTTTGAAATGGATATGTTTCGCGAGTACGATAAAAAATTGTCACTTTCATGTGTTGAAATGCTGCTAGCTGTAGAATAAATGCTATCTTCTGCAGTCGAAGAGACATCAGAACTACAATCTGATACATGGGAGAAATAATCATTTCTATAGTTTTCTTCTGGTTCTTCGTAATAAACACCATCAAAATCTTCAAAATATAATGTCTCGGGATCAAATCCTTCGTTAATTGATAGAGTATCCATGTTTGAAGCAAACGGGAAAGAATTTTGGCTGATATTGAATTCATTGCTCTTTATCACGCTATTTTCAGCATTGTTTGAATTATCAGAAGTTTTGGTGATTGCCATTTTTGACGAGTAATAATATATAACGCTTTGAAGTATTTTGTTTACAAGAAAATTTTCTGTAAGAACAGTTGTTTTAGAAATTGTGCAGTTTAAGTTGAGAAAAATATGAAAGTTTATAAGCTAGTTTTATAGATTTTTGTTTTGTGTCAGAACCTTAATGCGAAACATCATATATATGCACACTTTGTTATTACCATGTGGTGGCTCACTAACACGATATGATCATCGGATTCTTTGTTAAAAATATAACAAACGAGCCACAACTATTGTTTTCATCTCGGTTTGTCATTATAATTGAAATGCATAATATTGTAAAAGTTCTTTTAATTCGGAGGATAAATCCGACATTTTTATTTGATTAGGTTTTTCAAGACTTTTTAATAACATTGGAGTTGAAACTACTTTTACTTTTCCAGTTGTATTCTTCTGATAGCAAATGTTAGTGTCTTTACGATTTCTTTTCCGCTCACTGTTTTGTTTTTTTTTTTTTTGGATATTTGCAGTCAGATTTCGAAGTTGGGTTTTCTCAATAAGTCCGAGTCAGAGATCAATGCGATTTTCTATTAGTTTGCGAAGATTTTATGATTTACCGACGTTGGTTAAAGTTTGATGCTGATGACGTTAATGATTTGATTGTTTAGTTTTTATCCCCATTTCGCTAAAAAAATTCATTTTTCGCTTCTGTAAAAGGTGAAGGATCCATGTCCACGTCATAATTGTGAGAATCTATGCTGAATTGAAGAATTGGAGTTGAAACTACTTTTACTTCATAAAGCAACCGCATGCGTCTTGTAACTATACTTGCTAACCCACTTTATTTCGTATCCCTCTCGACCATTCTTTCTTTGTTCTTCGGTCTAAAATTGCTTCAACATCATATGTTTCATCGTCATCTGACATTTTTGACACAAAAATTGTCAATATGACACAGAAAATGTCAATATGTATTGATAGGGTAATAATCGAATTACGTATTATGCAGGAAGATCATGAGTAAGTTTCAGTTCTATGTTAAAAAACTATTGAACTAGGAACTATATACATGTACATGTATAGAAATAAAATGTCATTGTGCAGATTACGCAGTAATTCTAAAAGCATGTGCAACTTTTCCACGGTAAATATTTGCACCATCATCATTCTTGGTATTGTTTCTTAAATCAGCTATGAAATTCAGGATAGTTAGTTCTTCGATGAAGTTAATCCTTTATTCTGGACTGCGAAATAATTAATCTTATAATATAAAGCGAATTAAATTACCCGAATAATTCACGAAATAGTAGCCTGTATAGCTTTTTTTTAGGTCAAATTTCTCGTCTTTATCATTGTCAAGTTCCTTTTGTCCCATTGACGGTTTTTACTTGGATTTTTCATAAATGTCACAGAGCGTCAGATACATGCTTGGTTTTCAAATGGTTTTGTCTTTCTAAGATACCGGGGGGTAGTGTTGTAATAAAAATCGACGCATTTGCAGGAATTGTAAGTTTTTGTCTTTTTTATTCCTTTGAAAAGCGAGTTTATACATTGAACAAGAATCAATCGATATGAATACGTGAGCTGTTAGCCGAAATCAGCGGTAACATTGACAATAACATGGCGACGACATCGATGGTAACATTGATGACCGCAAAAAGTAACAGAAATTTCTGTTAGAAAGAAAACTATCAACCTTCCTGTAAAGCACATCTGTAAGGCATCATTGATTATTATTCTAATAAAATATATACGAAATAACTATTCGACGAAACAATGTATTTGATAGGAACAATAGCGTGATAATCGTATAACGAACAAATACCTTCCTTAACCCGAATTCTGCTATAATTTCGAAAATCAATTGTTTGTTGAAATAATGATTTATTTGCTATTAATGATACAATTATTCAATTAAAATACCATAATAAGTTGTATAATGTGATCTCTAGCACATGTCTATAAAAATGGTTTGCCATTTTTGTACAGAAATTTTTCAATTCTATTTGGAGTCGTTCTTATATTTTCTTTCTTCACACTTCTTCAATACATGCTTACCTACATCATCACAAACCTTACAAGCCGAACGAAAACGAGCACGTCTTGTGGCCTCTCCATTTCGAAAAAATAAGCACAATAATAAATGGCCTTTTCCGACTGTAAATCCGCTAAACCAATGAGTGGATGCTTTCCTTGGGTCTATGAGGTACAAAAAAACAAGTCTGCGAAATGCAAGCGGATGGCTATATCCATGCAGTCTTGATTAATTTCGGCGTTCGGACACTCTTCATTGGTATTCTCACACGAAAGGAGTGAGCAAGATTGGTGAATATTATATTGGACGCATCGTTCGACTTCGTGGCTCTTAATGTCACGAAAAGACGAGCTTGTACAATCAACTTACAAGCGCAAGCAAAAAAAGACTAAAATATGGTGTAGGATACTGCAATTGCAAAGTTAAATTCACAAAAAAGCAATTGCGTTCTTCATTCGCGAATTTGATGCAGTTGTCATTCCTTCGATATTTGACGTGATAAATCGTAAGCCAAGAAAAACAAGTCAGAAAGATATTGTGCTGGGCGCCGATGAATTAAGAGTCTGAGTTATTATACAAAATGAGGCATATATGTACAAAACTTGCAGTTGGTGTGGGAATAGTCAGAAAATTGGAAAGTGGCGCTCGGGAAATATTTCTCCGCATTGCTTGGTTTTCTTCTGAGAAATACTAGTGCTGCTATTATTGATGTAAAAATCCATCCGTCAATCCTCCCAACAAGAGATGTTAAAAATTTAATCTTTATTTACGTTTAATTTATAAAATTTAGTTGAATATTAACTTTCTAAATTAATTTTTTTATTCTAGATATTAAAAAATATCATGTATTAATGATTTTATAAAATTTACATGATTTTCGTATCTGTATATTTTTGCATGTCTTAATACGTACGTACGTAGTTTTCAACAAATAGAATTAAAATTATAGATTATTTACGTACTTTGTTTAAAAATTTAAATTAAATAAATATAGCTTTATTTTAATGCATTATATAATAATTCTACCACATGTATAGTATGTATTGTATATATTTTATTAACGACCAGTTATATTTGGCGATTTATTTATAGACTCCTCCTTATAAAATGTGAATGAAATAATTTTTGATAAAAGGTTGTGATTATAATTACTTTATTATATAAAAATTTATTTAAATTTTGTAATATATTATATTATCAATTGTATATATTTTTAATTATTTTTATACTGAATACTAAAAATATATTAATATTTAGAAAAATTTATATTTGTTATTGCAAATGTTCTCTTTTTGTAAATAAAATAAACGGATTCTAGAATAAATTTTTAGTGATATATATATACCAAATTAATATTTAATTATAATAAAGCAAAAATAATCAATTTGTATTAAAATTATTATTATTAACTTTTCAAAAAATTACTGTATTTATTACTATAAGCATTTAAACTATAATTGTAGACAATAATATACAATCTAGAATTGCTTGAGCTTTCAAAAAATAAATTTTATATTACTATTTAAATAGATTAGAATTAGCAAATTTATTTTAAATCATGAGATTTTTTGAATTTTGTCGTATAGATTTTATTTAAAAAAAATTAATTTAAAAATTAATTTAATGTAAATTTTACAATTATTTTGTGTAATATTCAACTTTTATTTGATAAATTGAATTTGTTAATTTAAATTAAACCATCTTGTTTCGATACCGTATTTTTTTAGCTCTGGCTTTTTTTTTAAATTTGAACTATCCAAAAAATTTAGTCATTTTGTAATTAAATAATAAAAAAGCAAATATATGTAATTCAAACTGTGATTTGTTATTCTATATTTTCTCATTTATAGTTACAGTGGTGATCAAAAGAATTGCAACAGCGTCAACATTTACTAGTAAAATATAATAGAATGCAAGATTTTTTTTATACAAAAATACATATATTTTTCGGATTTAATCTTAATTGCAATTAGGAAAACTTTCTCAGATTAAATCTAAAAAAATATATATGTTAAATATGGATTTTTGTATAATCTCGCATTTTATTATATTTTATTAATAAATTTTAACGCTGTTGCATTTCTTTTGATTGTCATTTATTTTATTTATTGTTAAAGCAAAAAGTTGTTCGGTTATATGCGAACAGTTTTATTTAAACAATTAACAAAATACTAAATACTTCGAACAAAAATCTATCAAAATGCCATACTTCAGTAATTAAATTTTGTGTTCTGGTTTTCAGGCATTATTACAATTGTTTAAAAAATCAAAAAATTTATTTTTTAAAAAGATGAAATTAAGCTGAATCTAATGTCACTTAAATTTGCAAATAAATTTTCAAAAATTAATGATAAATATGTACGTTTTCTAAAACTAAAAAAAGTACAATGAAGTCAGCACGCATATGTTCTTAGAATAAATTCTGTGTTGGATTTTCTAAAGTTATACCGTTTGCGATTGGTTTCAATTCAAATGCGTAGTAAGCTCGCTACATTTATTCGATTTTTCCGCGCGTAAAATTCGAAACAATACCGCTTTTTACAATATCGATATATGCATATTCCACTATTAACATGTGATGGTAATTACAACATGATTTACATGTACTAGTTGTTTTCCATATTAGAAACCTTGACACCATTATAGTCGAAATGCATGCATGATATTATTAACATTAAACACATGCACCAGTTTCAGAATTAGTGACTTATCTCAGTAATCACCACATTGTTCGTTTGGATCTCTCAATTTCCTGTTTATCGCTATGTACTCCGGAAAATGTACTCCAGAAATACTGTAAATCTTGTAAAAAATTTTCATTCTGCTGAATGAGATTACGGTTTGTTGATGTCGTTAAAATTTAGCATCTGAAATATTGAATTTAAACATGTTAACGTTACCATTTAGGCTGGTGTATATAAGAGTGGTAGATGAAATTAATAGAAATAGCAAAATGTGATGCAAATATTATTTTCTAAATTTAGATTTAACAGTTTATGTTGATAATGAGAATTAGTAAGCATATATGTATGAAAAGCATATTGTTAATACAATTGTTATAATCCTCGTACAATTAGCTCTTTTGATGGCGTGTAATTACAAGCACTCATGCTTTATATTTATTTGATTTATTTGGAATTTCACATGTATTTATATGTCTGTAGAGCTTTATCATAACTAAAATTGGATGGCTGAAATTTCATATTAAAAATTAAAAACATAACGATAAAGTATACTTATTACATGCATTTTTAATCTTAGCTTAGTAAATGAACATAGAAGAATTTATTGTTCTTATTTCATATAGAATATAAATATTCGATCATAGTTTTTTATGAAGAGAATAAAGAAAAAGAATGTTATTTTCTATTATAAGGCGTATTTTGAAACTTATTGGATAAATTAAAAGAGTAAAAAAGTATATTCTTGAGCTAATGGTTTGAAGTATTATAGAAATCTCTACTAATAACACAAATTCTTTGTTTGTAAAAGTTTATCAAGGAAATCCTATAATCTTTAGGAGTCATATGGAAGAATTTTTCGGTCGTATTGATGCTAATCTCTGTTGATTCCTTGTCATCTTTATTTGGGAACGAACATTTTGAAATGGATATGTTTCGCGAGTATGATAAAAAATTGTCACTTTCATGTGTTGAAATGCTGCTATCTGTAGAATAAATGCTATCTTCTGCGGTTGAAGAGACATCAGAACTACAATCTGATACATAGGAGAAATAATCATTTCCGTAGTTTTCTTCTGGTTCTTCGTAATAAACACCATCAAAATCTTCAAAATATAATGTCTCGGGATCAAATCCTTCGTTAATTGATAGAGTGTTTGAAACAAACGGGAAAGAATTTTGGCTGATATTGAATTCATTGTTCTTTATCATGCTATTTTCAGCATTGTTTGAATTATCAGAAGTTTTGGTGATTGCCATTTTCAATAAGAGTACTAATATACAATATATAACGCTTTGAAGTATTTTATTTACAAGAAAATTCTTCTGTAAGAAACAGTTGTTTTTAAACTTGTGCAGTTCAAGTTGAGAAAATGTGGAGGCAATAGGCTAGTTTTATAGATTTTTGTTTGCTGTCAGAACCTTAATGCGATGCGAAACATCCTATTGTTTGTTATATGCACACTTTGTTATTACCATGTGGTGGCTCGCTAACACACCATTACGACATGATCGTCTGATTCTTTGTCAAAAATATAACAAACGAGCCACAACTATTGTTTTTATCTCGGTTGATCGTTATAATCGAGATGCATACCATTGTAAATATGTAGCATATCTCGAAAAATTGCCACACAATGGTTTTTCGGTGCCACTCTTCTATTACAGATTTTCATGTGATTATTCAAAAAGGTGTATTGTTTTAAATCTTGTAATTGCCCATTTTTAGCAACAAAATTCCAGGTTAGAATTTACGTCATTAAAAATCAACAAGTTGCATAGAACATATCGATCGAAATAATACTCATTTTCAAATGTGAAAATTGTGAATTTTATCCATCATTCTATTTGAGCTTATACAATGAAACTTTTCTATACAAAATTGTGATTAATGAATGTGTATTCAGAATTAACTGACTATTTTCAAATAATATAAAATTAAATACCAATCCACTAATTATACATTTAATCATTATAAAAAATAAATTGTATTTTGTCTGATAAATTTTATTAATAATTTAATGTATATAGGTATCTTAATAGATTTGCAGTTATTATAATAAAATTTTCTGAAAAATAACTTCAATATAATTAATTATTAAATTAATCTATAATTATTTTATAAGAGAGCTTTTCTATAATTTTTTTGATCTTGTTAAAATAATAAAATTATGATAAAGCAACCTATTTATAAAATATAAGCAATTTAGAACCACATAATTCTTGAGTGTTGTTTCTATTGATTTGTACTCTTGGTTAATTAACAAATGAAGTTATAACTAAAATTTATCTTTAAATTATATTGATGTACGTATATTTATTCACGAATATATCCCTGGTTTGGCATAAAATATTCATCATGCAATTGTGTCAGAATCAATGTTTCTCTTATTAACGTTTTCAAATAAAAAAGTTATAGCTTTATGGCTTGAATATTATTTTCAAAGCAAAATTCTTTAATAAATTTGTCTTACAAATATAAAAACGTTGAAAAATACAACAAATATATTAATACATTCTAAGAAATTCAAGTATGAAAATCTGCTTTCTCGAATGATCAACTGATGTGTGATTTTTCATTCAAAATTATTTTTTTGCCAATAATTTTTATTTAAAATAATTAAGTTTTCTATGTCAACACGTCAACAAAATTGCAAAAAGATGTTTGCTTTTCTGTAATTTGGATTATAGTATCATTTAAGATAATGTTTCGAATTTACTGTAATGATATTTTTATATTAAATAACTTGGTGGAAATTTTTGCATAATTGGATCTTTCTAAAATAATTTTTTGGAAATAAAATTAAAATAATAAATAACTAAAATAAACAAATGTAGATTTAAAATATAAATTAGAATTAACAAATATTTAATTTTTAAATAAAATATACAAAAATTTCAATTCTTTATAATATATATATTAGCTTTTTTATTTTGATAATTAAGAAATTTAAAATACCAATTTGAAATTATATATAAAGTTTATAATTTATAATTTTGTACTTAATCTTTAATAGTATTAAATTATTTGTATCAAATATAAAATAATTTGTCAATATTATATATACAGAGAACTCTTCCTGAATGCACACACTCCCTAAATGCACATTTTATCTTTTTTCATATGATTTAGAGGTGAGTGCACTTAGAGATAATTTGAATTTTATTAAACTTTATAAGCTAACTTATTTAACTTATATACTAATTGTTTGAACAATGCATGTAAAATATTGTATTTGTATAAATGCATCTAATAAATATTTTTTTATAATAAAAAAATAATACACATTTTTTAAAAATTTTGCACATTTTAATAAATTATTAGATATTTGGTAAAAACATATTAAATACTGTAATATTAAATAAACTAATAAATCATTTATTTTGTTATAACAATTAAATTTTTAAAATGAAATAATAGAAAGATATTACAAAATTCAGTTTATATGATTTATTAAAATAGCTTTATTATAACTGTTTTTAAATCATCATTTTGGAACTGAACAGATTTTAATACTTTGATTTAATATATAATTCAAATTCGTTATATTTAACTTTTTAATATTTTCAAAGTGAAACCATTGAGAATTTAGCATCAGAGGGGAGAAGACAGAAGATAAGGCGTATACAAAAGGGAAAGCATAGCACACGCATTATTCTATATATCATAAAAAACCTTTTTTTAAAAAAATTGATTTGAAATAAAATTGATTTATTTATTAAAATTTTTTCTATTGTCTTATTATTTAATTCTATTTTTATAAATCGATAATTATTTTATGTTATTTACTTGCTTGGATTTCAATTTGATTTGGTTGCTGGGTGGTTAACTCCTGTAATTGGGCAACATGGGCGTTACAATGCGTGTTTCCTCGACCACATTGTATTTATTTTTATCTGATGCTCATAAGACCTACTCATATAGGAAAGGAACGATGTGATAAAAATTAGAATTAATCTTTGATTTTTGATATTAGACAAACGAGTTTTTGATTTTGTTCCCGTATTACATCTTCGTATTTAAGAGTCCAGTCTGTGACAGTAACCTCAAAGTATGTATTTAGATCTTATTTTTGCTTTTCATCGATTAAATATGTAGAATACTTCAGATTGAACCGTAGTTTGTCATACTGTGGATTGCGGTCTGAACTAGTCCTTGCTGGAACGTTAGCTCAAAAGTACAATTTAGCACACATATATTGTTGTATTAGAGAAATAGAATATAACGAAATTCAGCTTAATACAAAGTACATGTATGCCGAGAAATCGCGTGAATTCTTCAATAGATATCGATATCATTTCGGGCGTAAACTTGATTATGCTTATAAATTATTATATATAAGTTATCAACTAAAACGAAACAATATTTTTACTAGTGTTCCTAATGGTTCGGTTTTGGTTTACGTAGTTTTTGTGATATACTTTATATAACACCACTCTTTTAAATGGAGTAGACTATCAGTTTTAATTTCATTCTTCGGTTCAGTTTTTTCGGCGCATTAGTTTTTACAAATTTATCTTACATTATCCTTGAAGGATATTTTTAAAACTCAAATTTGTCATCTACAAAGTTACACGGTAAAATCTGAATGTACTTTTTTTATCGTTATGTTAAATTTTTTGCTTTGAAAATTGATTGAGGCATTTTCAATGCGTGCTCACATTAGCATATATCGCAAAACATCAAGGAAAAAAGAATATCGTGATTAAATGCTTCGTTGATGGAAAGATGGCATAATCAGAACATCTTGATGCATTAATCATTGAAAATATTATTTATACAAGTACATGGTCTCTCTTGCTAACTCGCAATTCTCTAAAAAAAAAAAAAGAACAAAAATCGACTTTAAAATCACTTACAAATAAAATCAAATCGATAAATAAAATGGCAAAATTTTTCGTCCAAACTGTAACTGTTCTTTTAGTTGTTGCTTTAACATTAAACAAATCGAGCAGCATTTTTGCAGCCCCAATTAAAACGCGTCATTTCCTCCAAACCTTTAAACCCGTCCTTTTTACCAATATCCTCGATGAAAATACTGCTACCACTGAAGCAGCTACTACGAATTTATTGGAAATTGAAGCAGCCAATTCAGCACAAACTGCTGCAACTTTCGATCACGAAACCGCTGCTACAACACTCCTCAACAAACGTCATTTTTTGCATGGTTTTAAACCGGTCATTTTTACCAATATTCTCGATGAAAATACTGCCACCACTGAAGCAGCTACTACAAATTTACTGGAAATCGAAGCAGCTAATTCAGCCCAAACCGCAGCAACTTTCGATCACGAAACCGCCAATACAATTCTGATTAAATAATAGTAGTTCCAGACTATTTTCTAAAAATTTAAAACATTACCTTTTATAAATGTAATCATTTATTTATAAATAAAATATAGAAAATCAATTAAAATTTATGTTTTTAATGCTTAAATAATATTCGTTCTTGGCTGGTATCCAAAGTAGCATTGCTTGGCCAAATATAAATTAAATTATGCTAAAGTTAATATAAACGAAATATGATATTATCACAAAAAAATGATTTCTCGTAGTAAATGTTAATTGTTAGTGATGAATAAAAGTTAGCTTGTTATTGATTTGCTTTTTGGTTAACGTTAAAGTCCTAAAATCCAAAAATATGAAATACAATATATACAGAAGAAAATGCTGCTCCACATCGCTCCAAGATTGTCAAGACTACTCGCAAAAATGCGGGAATTTCAGTAATGATTTTGCCGCGCAAAGTCACAATTTGAATCTCTGAAAATCATGGCAAGTCAACGGGCTCCACCACGATCAAATTTGCTAGAACTTGAATCCTATGTTAAAATGCTTGGAATGAACTGCAACCCGAATACCGTATTTCACTGTATAAAGTACCCAATTTTTGAAAAATTGCACAGTAAATCTTGTTTTATTTATTTCGCAGACAAATAATTGGGTTTACTAAAAATTAAGATTTAAATTTCTACAGGGGAGAGTATTTTATGTCATAAAATATGGTACATGTAATTGCATAATATAGAGCTCATTAATTATTTAATCAAATTTGTTTATATGGGGAGTCAGTAGAAAAGGGACAAATTACTCTAATAGATTATCCCTTTTTTACTGACTCCGCCCCATAAAGAGATGTATACAAATTTTATCTTTCTATCAATCTTTGATAATTTATATTTTATACTTTCTAATAACTTTAGATAACCTTTCTAACAGTAATTTATTACTCTAATTAGATTATATCTTAGCACTACAAATAGCTAATAATAAATGCAACAAAGCTTCAAAGTATATAAAAACAATATTAATAAAGATAAGTTGTGCTTTTTATGATATGTATGCTTTTATGAGAATTATGTGAAAACATTATTCTATAACATCTTTCAAATAGACTTCTCATTAATTGCTATTTCTGAAAAAGCAATATTAATAAATACAATATCACCAAAGATAACAGCACAAAAAAATCTATTCATATAAAAAAAGATATCTGAAAATCTTGTAAAGTTACGATTTATCTATAATATTATTACAGACATCAAATCAAAGCACAATATTCTTCGGTGAATCATACAAAAACTAATAAACTCAAAAAAATTAAAACATAATACAAGTTATCAAGCTAAATACTGCAAAAAAAGCCAAAGTAAAGAAATCATAAAGTATGATTCATCTAGTTATTCATCTATACTCTTTATACATTTCAATCTGCATGAACGAATACATAATTATATTGAATTTGAACAAGTTAATACAAAAAGATGTCATAAAATTAAAATTATTAAAATCTTTATTCAGATTTACAAAAAAAATATAAAATATATCTTATTAGTATAATGCACTCTAATTAAATATTTAAAATTTTATTGTTGTAAAAGTGCATTATTATTTAGAACAATAATTTCTAAAGTTTATAGAATGAAAAAAATAATTATAGTAATGAATATTATTATTTGTATTAATATAATCTAATTTTGTAATTTTTATTTATAAATTGCTCAAAATATAAATTAATTCTATAATTTTATTATAAATATTTTTAAAATTTATTAAAATTAATATAAAATTTTTTAAAATTGCTTATTTTTAGCTTATAAACAACTTTATTTTTTATAATTATTAAAAAACTAGAAATATAATATATAATTAAAGCTAAAAATTTTTAATTTTTGATAAAAATATATTAAATATAAATTTTAGCAAACAAATTTGTATATTAAATCTCATAGTTTAAAAACTAATAATTTATTATCTGTTTTTATAATATTTTCTTATAAATTTATAGAATAATAAACAAAAATTTTTTGGTATTTTATAATAAATCAAATTTTTCAAGTTATTTAAATAATTTATAAATTTATTATTATAAATTATAATTTTTTATAAAATTACAAAAATTTATTTCTTTTATATATTAATTCTCAAATTATTAATAATATATTTTGAAAGAATAATTAATAATTTTATTTATTTATAATATAATATTAATATAAGCTTTAATATTTATATATTAAATTTAATTTTATTTACTTTTAAAATTATTTTACTAATTTGTTCAAAGTAATAAAGAAATAAAATTAATTTTAATTCTTTTAATTAATTAAAAATCCATATAAAAATATTTATTAATATTATAATTATTAATTTAGATTATTTTTTAATATTACTTTTTTATTAATTATTATTTCAATAAATAAAAAAAATTATTAATTCAGTTCTTATATCAATAAATAATTTAAAAAACAAGATTTTTAATAAAATATAAATATATTAACAAAAATATTTTTTGAAATTAAATAAAAAAATATATTTTAATTTGTTAATATAATCTCAATTTTTATAAATAATATAATTTTAATTCAAATATATATTATACAAAATTAGTTATTTTTTGTTAAAACTAATAATTAAAAAACAAAATAATTATTATATAATA